CAAGGGGCAGCTCACACTCCAGTTGGGCCCTCTTTGGAGAGTGCGGCTTCTGCATACGTTTAAAGACACCGTGGTTCCCTGCATTTGGTCTCACTCTAGTGCTTGAAGAGGGTGGGGCTATGCAGAAGAAACGGGGTTAATTCTCAGTGTTTGGAGTGCCCTGGGGATTGAGGGACTGAAACCAGCCCTCCTCCCCAGAATGGTGCTGAGGACCCCCTTATTTTCTCACATGTATGTGGATGGCTGCTATTTACCTGGTGAAGAATAGTAAGATGCTTTCTTGGGGATTCTGATGTGGTGATTGCTAACCTGGCCTGGACCCATGCTGCTGGATGAGCAAGTCCTCACGGGCCAGAATCCCACAGTGGGTGGCTGTTGAAATGTCCTCACATGCAGTATATGTCCCCACCCCGCTCCTGCCTTTCTTCCATGGAGGCATGCATGAACCTCTCTCACCCCCCTCTCTTTTCCTCACAACAACCTTGTGAGGTAGGTTAGGCTGAGAATCAGTGACTGGCCCAAAGTTGTCCAATGAGCTTCAAGACTAAGTGAGGACTAGAACCTGGACCTGCTGAGTCCCAGTCTAACACCATAATCACTGCACTGCACTGCACTGCACTGGTTTTCATTACAAAACAAACTTGCTGCACTTATAAGCAAAGTATGTTTTGCTTGTGTACAATGGTACAGACTGTGCTTTTGCATTTGGACTATCTTGTAAAAATGGAAAGGTATAAGTTCAATTAAAATAGAATATGCAGCAAAGAAAAGCTCTCCAATCTTAAAAGTAATAGTTGAAATATCTATTACGATTAGACAAAGCAGAGAGCAAAAGACAAACCAGGAATATTAACTGCACATTCAGTCTCACCCGCTGGTGTCCTCTAGATATTTTGGACTTAAACTCCCATCAGCCCCAGCCTTTAGGGACAGTCATCAGGCATCCTGGGAATTGTGGCCCAAAACATCTGGAGGGAGCCAGTTTGGGGAAGGCTGGTCTAGCTCAGCAGCTCTTTGCAAGAAGCAGGATTTGTCTGGTACCTGAAACCCTACTGTGACTGAGCCTGACAGGGCTCACAGATGTGAGTGTTGCAGAGGGTTGGTGCCACGATTTAGCAGGCCCTGCTCTAGGTTGGTGATTGATTGATTGATTGATTGGGCATCGCCCATCTGCATGGAACTCTGTAGAATCCAAGATGGGAGGAAAGAGTAAACAAGGAAGCAGTCTGTAGTTTGTTTCAGCTGGGCTATATTCATTGTTGTAGATGCTCTCTGGAGCCATATTATAATGGTGGGTGGAAACAAAATACTAAACATACCAGGTCTTTCTGCCAGTAGCTAAACCTTAGGAGAGTCATTTTGACCTTTCACAGAATGGGAAAATAACCCATGCAAAAGCCAGGAAACCCATCAAGAGAATGTTCGTCAGTGGAAGGAGGTATGACCACCTAAAGAGCCCTGTAGACCCATACTGGGTCCAAGAGCCTTTTGCTCTAGGGCTCTTTGCGTCATGGTGGACAAAGGAACAACAATCCTTTGCGTCATGGTGGACAACTGGGGTGTTCTACTAAAGTCTTTACGGAAAGGATGGTTCTTCTGGAGGGGCCTGAAGGAAGTACTGTAAAAAGTTCCAGACAGTTTTATATGGGGAGGCCATCCCAAGTATACAGGGAAGTGAAGGAGAACAGCAAACCCTTCTGAGGAAGGAGGAGGCCTTTGGATGGGAGAACTGGAGGGTAAAAAAGTCATGGGCAAGAATGTGTAAGAGTGGAGAGATAAGGAGCAAAGCTATGGATGATTGCACAAAGATGGTGGGAGATTCGGATAGATAAAGGGAAGGACTTCTTCACACTGTGAAGAACTCACCTCCACAGAATACAGTGATTACTGCCAATCTGGAGGACTTTAAAATGGAATTGAAGCAATTCATGGAGGAGAAGGCTATCAATGGCTACTCGTCCGATGGCTAGATGCCGTCTCCAGGATCAGAGGTAGTATGCCTACATCCACCATTTGGTGGGGAACATGAATGGGAGGTGGTCGAGGCACTCATGTCCTGCTTGTTCTTTCCCATGGGCCACTAGTTGGCCACTGAGTGAACAGAAGTCTGGACTAGATGGACCCTTTGTCTTCTTACATTCTTACAGAGTGCTGGATCGAGGCACAGACATGAAGGCATGTCGGGGTTTCAGGAGAGGCATCATGTGATCTGAGCAATGATTGGTGAATGGTTTTGGCAGCAGAGTGCTGAGTAGACGTGAGGGGACCAAGGTGAGACCATGGAAGACCTGAGGAGAAACATTTGCAGCTGTCTGGTGGAGAGGGGACCAGGGTGTAGAACAGGTTTTTACAGCGTTGTAAAGAAAGAAGCCCCATGAGTATAAACATGAATATGAAGAATGAAAGAGAGACAAGTCCGAGATAAAGCCACGCTTGTTCAAGCTGGGGTGGTTGGTAACAACATCAACAGATGAGGAGTACATAGAAATTATTGATGATCTGTTCAGAGCGTTGGGTGTCTGCTGTGGTGTAAGCATCCTAGGCCCATAAGGAGATTTGGCACTGTTGAGTTTGGCAGGTTTGGCAGTCTTCTTGGGGCCACATCCTTTTCTCTATCTTGTAGAGATTTTGCATACTTGCACTGAGTTTTCATTTGCCAAACCGGTCTCTTATTTGCAGGTGACTTCCTGTCCTCTGTAGTAGGGCAGAACAGCAGTCCCACATCTTTCCTTGCTGTAGCCTCAAGATGGCTTTACATGAATGAGGACAGAGGTGTGTTTTTGAGCCTTACCAACTGCTTCTTCTCCACCCTTGGCATGGAAGCATTTGTACGGCTGAAGTGGCAGCAGGGCTCACAAGGGTGTTGATTGTGGCATTTCTGCTTCCCCTGCCATGTTTCTACTACTGTGTGTATTCTGAATGTGCTTTATTTTGTACCGCAGTCATTTCTAAAAGCAAGTTCTTTGCAAGCAAAGGAATTCCAGTTTCTTTGTCTTGCAAAACTGTTATTTTGCAATTGAAGAAAATTTTTATATCATATTTGAAAGGATTGTTTGTAAGCCACCTAGGGAGCTTTGGCTATTGGGCAGCATTGAAAAATAAACACAGTAAAGATGTTTTGATATCCTTGCACTTTCAACTTGCACACAGTTTCTCAAAGTAGTAATTCTGAGTATCATTTAATCATGATGATCATGACATGTGTTTAGGAGACCTTGGGCTTAATTCATAGAGAGAGAGAGAAAGAAGAAGGATCATGGGTCAAGCTTGCTTCCAGGAAGGGTTTCCATCTGTGAATCCTAGCATGGCCTTGGCCACATACAGGCTCCCAGGCTTAGCTATGCCAAGAACGTGGGCTGGAGTAAAGCAAAAGCTTCACAGAAGACACGTGTTTCAGGGATGGCGTTTGGTGCCAGTCTCTAGGGCAGGGGTATGGTTTTTCAGCCTGAGGACCACTTGGCATTTCGGTTCAGTTCTTGGGCACTGCACTGCAGTGTTAGGCATGGTCAAAAGACAGATTTTAGTTCTGATATCCAGCGCTGCAGAGACATGTCACCCTTTAAGAATAGGCAACGATGGCCAAAACTCGGGAAACCACCACACAGCTGGATTTGGCTCTGGGCGTGGGGTCCTGCACCCTTTCCCTAGGACCTAGTAGAAGCTCTGGTGAGATTCCTGCACAGTGGTGCCACCAGGTAAGCTTGAGTGGGAAAGGGACAGGAGCTGTACCAGGCAGGAGTCAACAGCATGCTGGGCTCGCCTTATCATGTGCTTCTGTCTATGTGTGTGTCCCAAACTTGGGGGGTTTGCTTCTGAATCCTCTCAATCTGAAGTTCAGCTTCAGTTTTTGAAATGCTCGAACAGGGCGTTACTGTGAGTGGGCAGCAATACCAGTAGCCTAGACAAAGGCTGTTCGAGGGGTTGTTCCTGTTCAGTTTGGGGAATGCAGCTAGTTGCTGGGTAATATCACAGCTAGGATTTGATTGGTTTAAATCTCAAATACTTGGCCCCAGTCTATTCATCAGCAGTGATCTGCTACTACTTTGCCAACAGGGTCATGGTTTGGAGGAAGGAGCAGCAAGCCAGGATACAAACAGCACAGACCAGAATCCTCGTTGTTCTGGAAATCAGGTGATCCCAGGGAGCCAATCCCATGTCACGCTTGCTATTTTGCTCCAAATCCTGCTGCGCACCCTCCATGTGGTTAACTTGTCACTGAAGGGAAACTGCAGCAACCTGCCCTTCTGCTCTTCCAGACTTCTTCTGTTCCTCACCTACCTGTTCTGTCTGCTCTTGGCATTTGCTGCCTCTCCAGCCTTTGAGAGCTTGATCTTACTCATACCGGCACCTGGTTGCTTGGAATTACTCCTCTTGATCTCTGTTGCTTATGCCAAATACCTCCTTCATTGATAGTGATTTTAGGCAACTTGGGCTACCAGTAGGACTATGGTGGTGGGAAGTATCAGAAACGGTGGACTGGCCTCATGGAGGCTGGACTGGCATCAAGACCGCCAATGTTTCAGTGGCAGCTGAAACCCTTTATGTTTACCCAGGCCTTTGAACTGGTTGGTTTTTTCCTCTTCTGTTGTCTTTCCAGCCTGCCTGGTTTTGATTATGAAGATTTGCTCTTTTCTTTTAAGCTGTATTTTGTGTAATTTTAATTGTGTGTGTGTGCCACCATGGTGTCTGCAAGGACGAAGGGCAAGTTAGCAATATTTTAATAAAATAAATAGTGTCTTGGTACTCTAGGTTTAGGACAGGGGTGGGGAACAAAACCTGTCGGACTCCCCTCAGTCCCAGTCAACAATGAATGGGATGATGGGAACTCCAGTTCAACAACAGGTATCACACCCCTGGTTTAGGAGCTTCTAACTGTCTTTTTATTTTCCTCTGAATCCGGAATATGATAGGAGGGTGAGAAGGGAAAGGCTGTGTTCTGGCTTTGTACAGTGGGCCTGATGTTTGGCTTGGCACTCTTCTCACTTCCCCTTCTTTTTCAGGACTCACTCAAGCCTGCCTTCACGGTCACCAACCTGCCGGGGACGACGTCGACCATGCAGACCGCTCCCACAACCTCCACCTCCATGCAGGTCAGCAGTGGCCCCTCGTTCCCCATCACCAACTACCTAGCGCCCGTCTCTGCCAGTGTCAGCCCCAACACAGTCACCAGTGCCAACGGGACAGTGCTGAAAACCACTGGATCCAGTGCAGTGGCCTCCGGAGGGCTCATGCAGATCCCCACCGGCTTCACCCTCATGTCAGGTCAGTTTCCCCCTCTTGCCGACGGAGGCATTGCCAGCTTCTCCCTGTGGATTCTTGCACGTTTACTGTGGGCACGCCAAATCCGTGTGCAGCTGGGGTTGGAATGCTGAAGTTGCCTTCCTTGGATGTGACTGGTTCTGTAGGGAGCATGGCTGGAGGGCAGGATCTGCCTTCTCCTGAGGGTGATTGGTTCTGAAGGGAGCGTGTCCAGAAGGCTTATTGAGTTGTGAGTTCCAGCGATGCACAATGTTCCTGGGAAGCTGTCCCTGTTGTTGTCTGCCCTGTGACTCCCATTGGGAAGAGGAGAACTTCCTAGGCCTCATCAGTTGCCATTCCCTTCTTGGCACTCCTGGATGTGAGGATTGTAGAGTTTGGAAATGGGATGTGGAGCCAGGGCAGAGTCCTTTCCCTCTTCTTCCTCCCGTGAAGGTGTACTGCTCAGAGACTGGGAGAAAATGTAGCTGAAGCGAGGGGAGGGTGGCGATGGCGGTGGCTGAAGGAGGTTTTTAAAAAGAGTTGGCCCTGATGAAAGCCCTTTTTTCTCCCTCCTTCCAGCAGGTGCTCCACTCCCTCCCGGGACCCCTACCATTCCTCTCACTCAGTTACAGCCACACTCGCTGGCCCTCTCCGGTCAGCAGGGCCAGGTGGCAGGCGCAGGGACACCTGGACAGCTGCAGCAGGCTCAGCAGGCAGTCTTCCGATTCCCAGGCACAGCCGGAGGGCAGATTGTGTCCCTGACAGGTCAGCAGCGCTCACAGCTCCGCTCGCTTGCAGGAGGTTGGTGGGATGCATGTTCTCAGAGCAGCCGATTAACCTGCTGTGCAATGCTTGTAAGCCAGAATGGGGAACACATGGGCCTCTGGTTGTTGTTTTTTGATGGCAGCTCCCATCAGCTCCCCAGTCAGCCTAGCCCTTGATGAGGGACGTTGGGAGTTGCGGTCCAGCAATATCTGAGAGCTGCATCTTCCCCATCCCTGTCCTAACAGTGGGGATAGAAAGCAGGGCAAAGTTTGCCATTGGGTCCAGTTGGAAGTGTGCTGTTCCTCTGAAGCCACCTTTCCCAACTTGGTGTCCTCCAGTTGTTTTGGACTTCAGCTCCCATCAACTGCAGCTGCAGGCAGTCCTGGTCATGGTCAGGAGCACTGAGAATTATAGTCTGAAACTTCTGAAGAGACTCAGTTTGGGAAAACCTGTTTGGTGGTAAGAAAGGAAGGGACATGGCAGTGTGGAGTTTTCTGGTTTTCTTGGAGTTGGTTTACAATCAGATGTTCAGTGCTGCCTATTTTACGAAGGATGGAGATGGTCTTGAGCAACAGCTGGATATTAAGTTCTCAAAAATGAACGGTCTGTTGCATGTTTCTCCAGCCCAGCTTGCAGCCCTAGGTGCAACTTGAAACCTGCATAGTGCAAACAACTACAGCCTGATCCAGGGGTAGGCAACCTGATGTGGTTCAGCTGTTTTGAATTACAACTCCTGATGAAGAATCTTGCTGGTTGTGGCTGCTGGACACTGTAGTCCAAAATGTTTGGACAGTGCTAAGTGGCCTATCTTTCTGTTGAAATCTGCTGCCTCACCCCACATTTTGTTTTAAGTTCATAACCAGATACTGCAGCTTTCCCCTTCTCCTTGCTTTTAGTTTTGGACTACAACTCAATACCTGAGTTCCCAAGAAGTCTGATGAAGAGTTCTCAGGAACTCAAAAGTTTGCTTGCTCTTTAATAATATTTTTGTTGGTGTTATAATACAGGCTTTTTCTGGCTGTGGATTTTGTATTTTTTCACCACTGGTGGAGAATTTTGTCTGCTATATTAGGAAGCTGTTCTTGTGATTTTGATTTTCCGTAGTTTCAGAATAACTTGCGATGATGCCAGAAGGACTCTGAGCTGGACAGCTTCTGGAGCCAAATAGTTTTTGGCACTCAAATCCTGTGACCAGTGACATTGGCGTTCGCATAGTGAAAGGAAAACGTGGAACCTAGAACTGAGATGGTGTGCAGGAAACCCCTACTGAATGTGGATTCTCTGCCTTTCTGGTGATGTCAGGAGAGTGACATGACGGAAGGATGCATATGTTGAGGCTGTTGGCCTCCCCTCCCAGTACAGCCACTTCAGGAGGGTTGCTTTGGAGTCTTTCACCTTCTGAAGCAGTTCCATGTTAGAAGTGTTGGAAGCTGCGTTACACTGAGTCAGACCATGGGACCCTCTACCCCAATATTATTGACCCCAGTATTACTGGTGGAGAGATGAGCTTCTGCCTCCCGCTGGCCATGTGTGTGGTTGTTGCAGCTGAGAAAGGAGAATACCTATCCCTGGAAAGTAGCGGGATGGCCGAAAGCAGCAGCTGTTTTGAACCTTAGGACATAGAATCCTGCCTTTTGCTGAGCCAGACCCTTGGCCAGGTAGCCTGATATTGTTGACAGCAACCAGCAGTGTTTCTCCATCAGACAAGATTCTTTCTGGTCCTACCTGGAAATGCTGGGAATTGGGCCAGGGATCTTCTGCATGCAAAGCATGGGCTCTGTCACCAGTGGCATAGTGGTAGAACCAGGGCTTTCCTGTCCCCTCTGAGCATAGTCGCAATTCTTGCAGTAGCAGGAGGTGGGAGTAGAAACACATTTTACCAGCAGCAACATAGCGAGCCTTTTTGCAAAGCATTTGGGGTGCTTTTGAATGTGTGATTCAGACCTATTAGCTACACATGCTCCTAGTGGAGAGGAAGACTGTGAGAACTGGTTTGCTGATATGGATCAAAATGGGCACATGCATTTTTGTCCTCTCCTCAGGGATATAACTATGTGGATTGTCATGATGGGCATCTGCTCTGCAAAATTGACCAATATATCTCAGTTTACCAGACAGCAACAGCCCTTCCAGCTTCCAGCTTGCAATATTAGGGAAAGGGGAGAAGCGGATATAGCCTTGTGGCAACAAAAGGCAGCCTGGTGACTTGAAGGAGCGTCTCCTTCCCTATGTGCCCACCCACCCCTTAAGATCTGGGGCAGACGCCCTTCTCCAGGTGCCCTCCCCAAAGGAGATTAGGAGGGTGACTACCTGGAGAAGGGCCTTCTCTGTGGTGGCACCCCCAGTTGTGGAATTCACTCCTCAGAGAGGTTCGCCTGGTGCCATCACTTTATTCTTTTTGATACCAGGCCAAAACTTTTTTATTTTCCCAATGTTTTAAGACCTTACTGATTTAATTGGGATTTTATTATTATCTAAATTTTAGGACACTGTGGTGTTTTTTGTAACATTTTGTATTGTTAAACTGTCCTGAGAGTTTGGTAATGGGATGGTCTACAAAAGTTTTAAATAATTAAATAAATAAATAGACAAACAAACAGCACTTGGACCTTTAATGCAACAAGCATCAGCAGGAAAACTGTTTAATCATTTCAGGCTGGTCATCAATTTTCACCTGCTTTGGTAAAACCTAAAACCATACGGAACAATAGAACCTCAGCTTTCTTTCCAAACCATGCTTGCTTTGGTGGCTGCATAAGCTTTAAAATGTGAGTAGTGGATTGGTAATCCACAGACTTTGAACAGCACGATAAACAGCATATTGCAGGAGGCAACCCTTTGCTATCCTGTGTGTTTTCAGTCACGTACTGAAGCTTCCAGAACAAGAGGGAAACTCACAGGTTTCTTGGAAATATTTAGCGTGAAGGCCCCAACAATCTGTGTGAATCCCAAGAGCCTGTGTTAATCCCAGCTGCGGCAGCTGGGTGGACAGAGGGCCGGTTTCTGAATTTTTGCACATATATCCACATGTTTCTTCCATCATCCTTCAGATATGAATAGTGCATGCCTGATTTTTGCATTTTTTAAAAAAGAACCGCGTGACACTTGTTGGAAATATATGGAAGCATCAGCCCCAGATTGATTTCTGGTCTGTGTACCTTCTCGAAGAGAAATGGACCCCAGAGCAAGAGGCCTGAACGCTGTCTGTGACCCACAGGGCCTGACTGGATTCACTTTCTGGTTATGTGCGCTGCAATGTGAAAACCTTAGTGAGAAGAGGGAAACTAGAAGCGTGGGAATTTTTCCACTTGGAAGGCTTTGGGGACAGAATGGCTATTTATGGTTGGTGTCTGAGCTTCCTTGCCATTAGATTGTTTGGTGACCTTTTATTGCGGTGTTAGTTCTCCAGTAGCCCATGGCACGGATTGTTTCTTGTTTGAAAGGCATTCTGGGAGGCTGATAAAAGTGTTCTCTCTGATAGATTGGGCTCTTTCTCTATTCTACCCTAGCTAGTCTGTTATTTATTTATTTTTTAATGTTTGAAGCCCACCTTGCTTTCCTCTTTGGCTACCCTGAAAAGACATTCAGTTCTTAGATTTATTTTGCCTGCTTTTACATCTGGTTCTGTATGCTGGTTTAAAAAAAATGCTTTAACTGTTTTTATTCTGTTGGGGAGGGGGGTTTTTTGTTTATCTGTTTGTGTTGTTTGTTAGCTCCCATTGGAGTGTGTGTGAAACGTTAAAAACACATTTAAAATATGAAGCAATGTAATAAAAAGACCACTGTAGGATGGGTTTTATGGGACATCAGAAGATAGAGATGGGAGTGGCCAGCTAGGCGTACCGATTGTGCTTTCAGTAATTAAATATTCTCTGTACAGTGGCTATTTCAAGAAAAGCCCTGGGAAAACTGGATTTCTTTCTTTTCTCTTCAAAGAAAAATTAAAGTTAACCTCCTTTGTAGCAAAAGTTGACAGCTGAACAATTTAACTAGTCAGAATGGAAGTTTAACTATATCTTGACCCTTTAAATTAGTTTTACTGACCTTTTTAACTACACCAAACTGTTCCATATGGCCCAGTATGGTTGACACTGACAGCAGTCTCTCCCAGTCCTACCTGGTGATGATGGAGACTGAATCTGGGACCTTCTGCACACAAACAGGTGCTCTGCCACTGAGCTGTCACCCTTTCCAAAGGCCTCACTTAATGCTTTATGCTAAAATATGATGGCATGTTTGATATTGCACTCTTTTGCTTTTGATATTGGCCTTCTCACCCCTGAAATGCGGCCCTAGAGAGCTTCTCCAGAATGAGTATTGGCCTTTGGGTGGAAAGAGGTACAACAGCCCTGCCTCTGCTTTGGCTGCCCTCAAAGTGCTTGAAACTGGTGGCCCTTTTCAACCACATTTAGGGCCGGCAATCTGTAGCCTCCACTGATACGAGGGGCAGGCACTGCCAGGTCCTCTGATTCCCCCTGTATCTTTTAAGTGGTTGAAGATGTGCCCTTGCCTTGGTTTGCTCTGTGGCTAGAATTGTATTTATTTATTTAAAACATTTGTATGCCACCTGTTGTGCTACAGCACCTCTGGGTGGCTCACAATCATAAGATAAAAACCACAATAAAAAACTGATTACAATTAAAAATACAATACTAATAGAATACAGATAAAATACAGAACAAAGGTTGAGTGGCATCAACTAATAAAATATTTTTTAAAAGGTCTTGCAAGGTGACATAGTTCCTTTGTGGCCCAAGCTGTGCAAGCTCACTTGTTTCTGCCCCGGGTTGAACTTGTCTAAGCAGGTGCCAAAGCCCACAATTGCAAGAGACCAAGAAAGGAACTTGCATCATTGCCTTAGTGCACCCCAGAGATCTGTAATGCACTTGCTTTAATAGAATGAGCTGAGAACAGGAGAACACCACCAAGTCAGTAATATCTTCATAGTGGTATAATGAATTGAATTAGGCAAATCTAGAGAAGACCACAAGGGAAGAACT